TCCATCTGTTCCAACAATGACCATGGGTTTGACCAACGATCTATGCTTGTGCATACTGAAGGACATTCTCTGAAATTATAGTCTTGACTCTTCTGAATAAAGATGTATGTTCCGTCAAGGACTACAACAGCTTGGCCTGGCTGGGTTGTAAACAACTTCTGAGCTATTGGAGTGGTGTGACTGGTGGCCATGTCATCATGGTTGATATGTTGAAAACCCACTGTAAGCGAAACAAATGTTTCCATGAGCGTTCCCCTTACTGCATGTATAATTCTTTGAACGTGAGTTGTCTTTAATCCAAATATTCTGGCCAGAATTTTATTCGCCAGTCCAACCCTTAATTTCATAAGAAATATGCTAAGGCATGTCCTGACTGATCTGTTTCCAGTATTTCTCACGGTTGACAAATACTGAACCATATCATTGAAGTTTTCTTTTGTCAACCCAATTAGATCTTTATAGTTATCCTCTGTCAACGGAGATGACACATCAAAGGTCAAATGGGAAGATGTTGATTTCATTCTTCGCCTAAGATTATTTAAAAGATCCAGTATATCTGTGCGTGAAAAGAATTCAAAATCCTGTGATGACTGTAGTTCTTGCAATGCTGCTGATGTGAAGGATTTATCATTCATGTGCTTTCTGCAACAACGATTTTTCTGTGAAATGAAAATTCCCTTTTCAACAAATACTTGGGTCCTGGCGTCTGAAGTGACTTGTATCAATCGATGGCGATGATTTGCTTCTTTTTTGCGGACAATACAGTAGCGATGCGTCTTTGGTGCTGATTTGATGTGCAGCTTGATAGATTTTGGGGAAGAAAATGTTTGAGAACGATCATTCTCATTATCCTCTAGCATGGTAATTTGTACGGTTCCACTTCTCGTAGAAAGAGTTGACCTTGTTCTCTGGCTGCCCCCTCCGCAAAAGATTCTTAAAAACGATCATTGCATGGATATGTCTTTGAGTAATCAATCAGTCACTTTCGTTGCAAGATGGCTTATAGAACTAAAAGATATCCAATTAAAACTTGGATATTAAATTCATTTTATTATTTTAGCTTTATTTAACACATCAGATGGTATGTGAAGAATACTGGATACAGCAATGGATAATTGTCGTTATAGAAACGTAAAATAAATGTTTAAAAAAATGACTTTTTAACAACGAATAACAATATTTTAATCAACACAGATGTAAAATAGGTAAACAAATACAAAATTTATAATTAACAAATTCACTTTTTAAAAAATATATATTGTTCTGCCTTTGATTATAATTTCTCAAAAGTTAATTCATGAAATGTTTCCTCATTCTCTCAAGATATCCAATTCTCTTTGATCTGTTAATTAATTTCTCTGTTTTCATTCTGAGGTTTCTTCTGATGAAAAGATCTGTGTTAAAAAATTAAACTACAAGTACATAGGGGATATCTATATTGTGTGATTTGATATTGGCTTTATCCAACGAGTTGAAATGGTGTAGGCCTATATATCAGCGAGGCTTGCCTAGCGAATATACACCATTTCAACGAGTTGGATAAAGCCAATATCAAATCACACAATTATAGATGTTCGATTTATCTCATACGAATTTCGTTTTAACAAAACTTTGAGACTTCCCCTGAGAAATTACATGAATGATTGCTAATTCAAATATACTGATGACGTATAACTTGATGACGTAGCACCGTTGATGTTGACATGCCTCGAAAGAAAGTAGATCGTGATCAAAATTTAGAATTTTTGCTATATGCGTCTTTGAAAACATTATGTGACAATTAATGGAGCTTTACATCAAAATAACTTCTGACTGAAAGTTGTAAGGACCATGGGATCGTGAAAATTAACTCTTCGGACGGTGGCAGTACAAAACGTGCCAGGCAAGGCTAGGCTACTTGTAGATTCATTGTTGATCCATAGTAAGTTACACCTACATTACTAGGAAGGCATACGTAGTATAATATAGGAAACATTATTGAAGATGTTAAAGGAATCCTATAATAACAACTTAACTGCTAGGCTTTACTTTCTCCGAAAACAATTTAAAGGGGGGGGGGGTAACATCTGTCTTCAAGTAGCCAATACAGATTCCTTGATAAAATAAGATACTCCTTTGACATATACGGGTATTTTTCTTGCTTTCAATGATTTTAATGCCCTTTATCATTCATTTTATAAGGGCAATAATTTTCACAAATAAAAGTTTCAATAAAATAAAATCTTGAAGCGAGGGATCGTGTCAAAACCGGAAGTGCTATTGATAAAGCATCTATCCGTGGATAAAGCATAAGTTTATCTAATGGGCTGTATCGAGATAAATTTTTGATAACATATGTCACATGTATTATATATAGTAAAAAATGTACTCACGGGTAAATAGGATGTTCCACAGAGGATTTTGTACCAGTAAGGTTGTCTACCCTGGATTAAATTGTCATCTTCCATATCAAAGTTTGTCTCCTCCCTCTCTCCTTTCATTATTTCTTTTGCTCGTTTATTCTTCTCTATCTCCTCTGCCATCTCAATGTTCAATTCCTTCTCTTGCTCTTCTTTCTATATCTCCTCCACTCTCTTTTACTGCAATTCTTGCTCTTTCTTCGGTATCTCCTCCGCTCTGTAATTCTTGCTCTTCCTTCTGTATCTCCCCCGCTCTCTTTTGCTGCAATTCTTGCTCTTCCTTCTGTATCTCCTCCGTTCTCTTTCGCTGCAATTCTTGCTCTTCCTTTTGAATCTCCCCCTTCTCTTTCGCTGCAATTCTTGCTCTTCCATCTGTATGTCCTCCGTTCTCTTTTGCTTCAATTCTTGCTCTTCCATCTGTTTCTCCTCTGCTGTCTTTTGCTGCAATTCTTGCTCTTCCTTCTGTATCTCCTCCGCTCTCTTTCGCTGCAATTCTTGCTCTTCCTTCCGTATCTGCTCTGCTTTCTTTCGCTGCAATTCTTACTCTTCCTTTTGTATCTTCTCCGCTCTCTTTTGCTGCAATTCTTACTCTTCCTTCTGTTTATCCTCCGCTCTCTATCGCTGCAGTTTTTGCTCTTTCTTCTGTATCTCCTACTTTCTCTTTCGCTGCAATTCTTGCTCTTCCTTTTGTATCTCCTCCGCTCTCTATCGCTGCAATTCTTGCTCTTCCTTTTGTATCTCCTCCGCTCTCTATCGCTGCAATTCTTGCTCTTCCTTTTGTATCTCCTCCGCTCTCTTTCGCTGCAATTCTTGCTCTTCCTTCTGTATCTCCTCCGCTCTCTTTCGCTGCAATTCTTGCTCTTCCTTTTGTATCTCCTCCGCTCTCTTTTGCTGCAATTCTTGCTCTTCCTTCTGTATCTCCTCCGCTCTCTTTCACTGCAATTCTTGCTCTTCCTTCTGTATCTCCTCCACTCTCTTTCACTGCAATTCGTGCTCTTCTCTTCTGCAATTCTTGCTCTTCCTTCTGTATCTCCTCCGCTCTCTTTCACTGCAATTCTTGCTCTTCCTTCTGTATCTCCTCTGCTCTCTTTCACTGCAATTCTTGCTCTTCCTTCTGTATCTCCTCTGCTCTCTTTCACTGCAATTCTTGCTCTTCCTTCTGTATCTCCTCTGCTCTCTTTCACTGCAATTCTTGCTCTTCCTTCTGTATCTCCTCCGCTCTCTTTCACTGCAATTCTTTCTCTTCCTTCTGTATCTCCTCCGCTCTCTTTCACTGCAATTCTTGCTCTTCCTTCTGTATCTCCTCCGCTCTCTTTCACTGCAATTCTTGCTCTTCCTTGTGTTCTATATCTTCTTCGCTCTCTTTTGCTGCAATTCTTGCTTTTCTTTCTGTATGTCCTCTGCTCTCTTCCTTCTGCATCTTACCATCTGTTCTTCTACAGCTGTCCCTTTTATCCCTTCTATCTCTGATATCTGTCTTCTCCTTTCCTTGGTGTTCCCATCTGTCTTTTATCTCTTCTCTATTTCTACTTTCGATATTTCAACCTGCCTTTTCAATATCTTTTTCCTCGTGTTTTCCTCCATTCTTATACGTGTCATTTTGGTTCTCGCTTTATTTTCTTTAGGATCTGCCTTTTGGTTTGATTTTGTCTTCATTTTATCATTCTTCTTTTTAATCATCCCATCTTTTGAATTCAGAAAGCCCATATGTTCTTCCTGAAAATTAACCCTTTCAGGATCTGGCCTTTGGTTTGATTTTCTCTTCATTTTATCACTCTTCTTTTTAATCATCCCATCTTTTGAGTTCAGAAAGCCCATATGTTCTTCCTGAAAATTAACCCATTTAAAATATAGATAGCTGATTGTCATGGTGCAAGTCTCATGCAATGTGAAGCTTTGGTCAAACGTTTGTATTACTATATTTTATGATTATAAAGTTTACTGTTACCGAATTTTAGGTGTGCTAAGTAATACTCCTTTACATTTATACCAATTATAGTTAGTAAAAAAAATATCATGAACCTACCACAGTTTTCTTTGTATCTTCTTCGAATTTTAATTGAGTTTCATTCTACAAAAGTAAAAGTGCATTAAGTTGAAACATTTTTACGTGCATAAAGTTTCAATCACAAAATCCACATTTCCAAAAGCCACGTCTAGAATTCAAAAGAAAATCCATTTGGAAATTCTTTTGAACTTAATATATATATTACAAATTTTTTTTTAGAATAATATGAAATGCGGATTCTTTTACTTTATATAATTTAAGAGTAATTAACAAAAATGTTAATATCAAGAGTTACTGTTCTTTGCTGAAAAACGTAATGTATTGCTAATTTCCATATTTAATTCTGTCACCATGTGTGGAAAGTTAATTATAACGGTTTTTATTTAATTTCAACATAATGATCCCTATAGCCGTAATGTCCCGGGGTTTTCCGGTTAACGTATTTTATGAACATTTTCACAATACCTTGGGAAATGTATTTGAAGCTTGAATGATTTCTTGACCCTGTAAGCTATGACCCTAGAGGGCGTATGTTCACTGATGCGTAAACTTCATTACATGAAGCAAAACTATTCAAATCCTTATAAACATAGAGTGATATAAGAAACGGAATACTATCTACTTCAGTAAACTTGTGTTTTGAAAGTAATATATAACGAAAAACTGAAGAAGTTGTAAACGAGTAGGGAATATGGTAGCGAAAATAACGTTTTGTGCAATTTAATGGATTATATGTGACATGATTCATTCATCATCTGATGTTATGGGAGTGTGATTTTTGCAAAGTGTGTAGTTCATAAATAGATGTATTTCTTCGAAAAAATATCAAAAATTATGGAAATTAATTTAAAGGTAAGTAAATTAATTTAAAACAGAACTGAAGTACGAATATGATGTAGGCCATTAAATTAGCTTCCTTGATTTTTAATTTGAAGAAAATGTGCTCACTATATGACAAAGTTCATAATTCATAGAAAACCAGATGCCTTCTTACATATATCGATGATAAATCTCTGAGATGAATGTTCATATTTGTCTCTTTTTGACCCTCTCTCTCTCTCTCTCTCTCTCTCTCTCTCTCTCTCTCTCGTTGTAATATTTAGTTGTTTTATTCTTTTTCTTCGTCTTTGCTCTAAAAAAGTCAGATAATAGTCTCATTATAGAAATGATTCAGTTTATTTGTATCTTTTTGTTCGTGGATTTTTGAGTCGAAATATGTAGAATATGGCTCACAATGGCAATCAATCATAATTTGTCTCTTGTTTTATTGTTAAGGTTATGTATCATAGTGATATTTGCATTATTTGCGCTGTGGTCCTTCAGAAATGATATGTTTAACTGATTAAAAATATAACTTTATTAACTGAGAGTAAATACGTTATATTTAAAAGTTTTGTAGGAATCTTTTGTTTTAGGTTTCAGTATCGTCTTGTATAATTTCTGATTCACCTATAAAAAATGGCGCGCGTGTTCAACATACCTTAAGGCTACGACACGGAAAGCATGTCAACATTTGGTCGGGACAGCAGTATTGATGGTCACACATAGAATATGTTGATGTTGGAGACATAAAATCAAACATATTTATTTAAAATCAACTGAAATAACTCTGTCCTTATCTTATAAATGTTATTTTATTCTTGGTTTGTTAAAACATTTCCAGTACGGTTAAAATATGTTAATTAACCCCTTTCCTAATTATGGTAACTAAAAAAAAAAATATGGCGGCTGAATATTTTCTAGGGAAAAAAAAAATCTTCAAAAATTAGAATACAGCATTATAATTGTTATTAAAGTTTTTTTGTATCTGTTAATACATTTACAGATTGGTTGTAATATGTTAATTAACCTATTTCCTAATTACGGTAGCTAAAAAAGTATGGCGGCTGAATATTTTTTTGGTGAAAATAGAACACAACATATTATAATTGTTATTAAAGAGTTTCATTTTAATTGATAAGCGTGTTTCTTTAAACTAAAATGGTAGCGAACTTTACATATTAACATAGTTGAATGCACTAACTTGTGTTTCTAGTCACATTAATTGGAAATCTTATGTATATAAAAGTGTACGAGACCTTGCATCTTGAATTATAATGTATAAAAATAAACATGCATGCCACTGTTTCAGTTAATTTGAATATTAATAAGATTGAAGAGGCGCATTATGATTCATAATGCAAGGCACTGGTGCATTGGAACTAAATTGATGAATAAAAAATAGTCTTTTTCCATATTTTGTGTTTATACCCAATGACTTTCTATTTCTATGAATGACAACTTTGCTCAAACTTGTAAAGAAAAGATCTTTCAAGTATGAACTCCTATAACTTACAATTTCCGGTAACCAAAAGAAAATTAAGTGTATTAAAATAAAATTCTAAAGAAAAAATATACTTGACTGTTTTATGATATAAAATTAAATTTATGATACATGTACATGTAGGTAAAAATAAGAGAGAGAAAGAGAAAGAGCATTTGCTGAACCAACACTGAATTTCGAACCATTGGCTTATACTAATATTTGTCAAAATTAAAACATATAAACATGCATAATTCTGACGTTTGTTTGTTTGTTTGTTTCATTTTAAATGTGAAAAATTTTGGTATTTTCTTTTGTTCAATGATTCTGACTTTATTTGAAAGAGGATTTTTTTTAATTTGATAAAATAAGAATCTTTTAATTGTAAAATAACTACTCTGTATCATACATTAATAGGACGCATCTCGGCCACTTCATTAATCAATGTGACACATTCTGATTGTGTAAGTACCAGATAATGCACCTGTTGTGCTTGCTACTCCCATGAAAGTTGAGTTATGTGTTTGTCATGAATCCAAAATCGATCAAGAACTTGTTGGGAATAATATAATGATGATTTTGGAGTTGCAAGAGAAATTTGCTCTTGGATACGTGACATTTTGAGGTTGGGCACTAAGTCATTCTCTGTAGTCGTTATGGGTCTAAAGACAAGAAGAAATTCAGAGCAACAGAACAAAATTAAATCATGTGCATCTTCAAAATTGTTCTGAATGTTTAGATATCATTAGTGTATCCCTCAGGAATTCTTCTGGTATTGAAATTCAACAAAAACTACAAGCATTGTGAATTAACCTGTATTTTTTAAGAAAAAAATTAAATTGGATAATTTTAAAATGCATTTATTTTTCTTTCAGATAAAAGTATGGGCGCTTCTTTTATTAAGCACAATAAAGACTGTGAATCTACAGATTTTTGGTAAAAATTTTAACGTTAACTCTATTTTCACTTTATTTTTAAGCAATAAAGATACTCTCTTTATATGTATAACTGTAAATAATTCGGGCGATATCTGAGTATTTAAAAAATCTTGATAACCTTTAACAATAAAAGTGCAATAATGGAAACCTATATAGCTATATACAAGTACTGAGTTGTTTTCTTTTTAACCAAAATGATTTAAACCTGATTTAAAACTTTGGATTTTAGATTGCCCGACTGACTGGTTCACGTCCAATAATATCTGCTATAAGTTTGTTTTTGATCCCAAAGAAACATACGAACAAGCCCGAGGACAGTGCTCGGTAAGAATTCCAGATTCCAATTCAAAAAAAAAAAAGGGAAGCACAGATTCTTAAAAACTGCTGTTTTGGACGAAATTGATTCAGGATTTAAAAAGATAACGAAAATTCAACAGTGTTATTTAATTTTAAAAACTAACTTTTAAACACAAAGAATAAGCTCGATATTTAAATCAAGAATAATAATATTTATTTATTACAGTGACTTGTGTAATACAAAATAATATCAGAATATATCTAAAATATAAGGACTGGAACTTTACACCCGGCCCTTTGGACCTATAAGTCACCTGCATTTAATTAAATTACACAATGTACTAATAAAAGTAATACTTTAACTGGATCTACGGAATCACTTAATATTATCGTATTATAAATTGTTTATATATAGTTCTGAAGATATCTTTTAAAGATTAAAAAAAGAAGTACTATTTGATTTCGTTGCTTTTTTTCTTCACAGATGCTTGGCACAAGTTTATTGTCCGTGAAATCCAGGACTGAACATGATTTCATTGACGGCTGGTTACGAAATAATGATTATTTTAGGTTAGAGATATTTCAGCAATATCAATTTCCTTGACAATCTAACTTTCACTTGACAATATATTTTGCATGAAATTTACCATATACAATGACAAAGCAAAATCACAAGACTATAGAGACATTAAAACTAGAAACACTTCTGTTCAAGATTTTGTTTTAAAAAAAGGAATCCATTCAAAGTGTTTCTTTTATCTCTTGTTATTTACTATGTTATTATCAACAGAATAAAAAAAAAATTCAAACAAACATGAATTAATTTTCCTTAAATTTTGATTTAAAAAAAAATTAATTTGCCTTCAGGAACACGTGGTTTACGACTGGTCAGCGAAGTCGAGAGAATCCCTCCATGTACGCGTGGGACGGGGACTTTACTAACAATCGTATCCCCCTAGACATGCAGTTCTGGCTCCCCAACGACCAGACCCACTTCACCCCCACCGCCCGGCAGGAGGACGTCATTGTCTACAAGTTTGATGGTAACAAAGTTTTTAATTCCATTGAATTATGTATAGTGCTGCTCTTGCAATGCACCAGTATCTTTGCTTACATAAACCAAGTTGCAAAGTTATTTGGCGGAATTACTTACATGACGTTTTAAATAAATCTTACGTACGTGTCTCATTATTAGCTATATTTAAAGTAGACACTTGACAAATTTATATGAATTTCTATGAAATTTTACATTCCTTAAGACTTATACCCTTAACAAATGATGTATTGACAAAGATTGAAGAAAAAAAATAACACAAAAAACTGTTAATAAGGGTTCTGTGACAATACTAATATTCTTGTACTGAATTCTGAACTGAGGTTTCATAATTCCATATTTATTCAAGACACATTTATGAGGAAAAGGTTATTTTTTATAGGCTGCCTGGTGTATATAATAGGTTACATTAATAAACACGGATTTTATTACTTAATAAAATGTCAAACTTTGTTTTTCAGGAATTTCATATGCTTGGACAGTTGGTAGCAAATTAGATAAAATGTCCTATGTTTGTGAAATAAGTCAAACAGAAGCGTACAAACTTACACAAGAAAAACGAGGGTTTGGTAAGAAAAATATCCCACCTTTTAAAATGAATTAGAAGAAAATTGGATAAAAAATATCTATTTAAATGTTTTTTTATCATCAACAACCGCTACAAACAAAAAAGATGCTGTCAATGATTATTTGACCATTACTCCATAAAAAAATAATACATCAATACAAATTTCTAACTTTTTAAAAATGAATTAATATTTTTAATAAATTTTACAGACTATGGTGTTCCTTACAATGAGATGGACAATGTCAGGAAAGGCCCAAAACTGGAGTTACAACCTGAAGACCTGTCCATCATTGGTCGGTCAAAGTTTGTCACCATAGAAACGGTTGCTATAGGAACACCACAACCAACATATGAATGGAAACGATTTCGTGGTTCCAATTCCACCGTCAATTCCATGGAAGATGCTGAAACAGTATGGAAAATGATTTTTTTAAGTTGTAAAGTTTCAATTTTCTACACATAAGACTGTATTGATTTTTTTTTAAAATATATAACTTACTATTTATCAGATATCTTCAAAAACGGAGTCCCGTTATACGCTGACCAATGGAAAATTTACGATAGAAAATCCTGATGAAAATTCGGATGCAGGGATTTATCAATGTTTAGTGGAGAATGAAGTGGGAAAAGTTCTCAGTAATCCCGTCAAAATCACTTTTGGATGTAAGTAGATCATGAAATTTACCATTTTTCTCGTCCAATTGAGTGGAGCATTTAATAAACCACGTGAATACTTGTACTAAAACTTACTTGTACTTTAGGGTGCAAGTTCTGCATGTTCTACTGTGTCTTCTTTATAAAGCTTTATTATAAAAATGATGACAGGTCCTCATCCTCATCAATGATGTCACCTAAAAACCAATTTTCAAATTTTTGCTATAGTGACCTTGACCTCTGTAGTATTTTTGAAATATCTATAAAAGCCTTTTACCTTTTTCATTTTCTACAATGTATTAAAATTAAAGATTTGAAAACCATTTCTATTTCTTCTATCAAGAGCTAAAAGTAAAAGTTCCACCCCAAACTAATTGGCAAACTTTGTAATAGTGACGACCTTTACTTTGGTCCTAAAAGTGAATATCGTATTTTATGGCTTCAAGAATTACACGAACAAATAACCTAACTTTTCCCCTAAAAGGTTAGAACTTCTGGATAACACTACGAAGACCCATATAAATTATCAAAAAATATATACCCAGTTTTTGCTAAGTAAGGAAAAGGCAATAAATTATTTTTTAGTGTTTAATTCAAGTTTTTGTTTATTGCAGTTTTGGGAGAATTTTCAAATGTCAAAGATGCTGATGTAAACGCCAACATGTACGATGGAGCAGTGATGCAGTGCAGCAATATTGCATTTAAACCAGGTAATCCTGAAAATCGAAAAAAAAATTTATATCTAAGATCTAGCCTGCACCTGTTGCTATATTTCAATTTTGTCAAATTATTGTCATAAACTAAAGCTTAGACTAATTTTTAATTCAATGAATTTCAGCTGTCGTGTATAACTGGCAAAGAGAACTCAGTGGCAGGCCTAAGAACATCATCCGAACTATGACGCCTTACGTGTTCATGTCTTACAATGGGAACCTGTACTTTTCGGAAGTGACGGAGGTGGACGCTAATAATTACTACTGTCAGGTGACATTGACCAGTCTAACTAGCGAAAAAGTCAGCGATGTCCAGTCTGTCAGCAAAACCAGTCTCCCTATCAGACTGAATGTATTGGCTCAAGGTCTGTTTTGTTTTGTCGTGTCTTTGACATAAAAGAATTTTCTTCATAAATCTGTTATTGTATCTTATTGTTCTTCTTTCGTCTTTTATAGCTGCAAAAACTGAGTGGGGTCCAGAAATTCAAGATGATTTCATCAATGTTTTCCCTAAACCCCCACTAAAGGGACACAATGTTCGCATGGAATGCTTTGCCTATGGCTCGTGAGTGTTAGATTTATTCCAACTTCAATTTCTCCGAAAATATATTCCTGCACTTGCTCATATTTCATACGATGTGAAGAATAATTTTCGTAATCAGATTGATTTTAGATATTAATTTTGAATTTATATAATCCACAGATCCAATAACTACATAGAAATGTGGCGTTATTGGTGGACAAGAGAAGGAAGGCCGATGCCTGAGAATGCAGAAATGTCGGATTTTAACCGCGTGTTGATCATTAAAAACGCCCGCTTAGAGGATCAGGGGAACTATGTGTGTCATGTCAAGCGTGGACATCAGGCGAGAGACAGCAAGGTTATTGCTCTGCGACTGGAAGGTAAGAAAAAATAATAAATATATAAGAAAAAACTTTATTTTTTTCTTGAAATCCACTCAAATCAATACAATTTGTTCATGGAATTTCCGTGAATGTAAAAAATAGAATGTTTAATGCTAAATAAAACAATAATGATGCATCAAATTGAAAAAGTGAGGTAACTCTGAAATATTCTAGTAACTGCCCTGGGAAAACATACGCTTCAAAATTTCTGATCTGGATATGTTATTGTTTCTCAGCAATATATTGTGACGCTAAATTTAAAAAAAAACAAAAGCCGTTGTCAAAAGCTTAATAATAGGGTAGGAATGCATGAAGAAAAAAAAACTTTTATAAAAAATATTGAAAAAAGAAGAAACTTATTAAAGTATTAAATCTGATTTTAGCGGTGCCTTATTTCATTATTCCTCTTGATGACCAGCACGTAGACAAGGGTTCCCAGCTGACCTGGAGATGTGAAGCCATGGGTTATCCGCAACCTGCCTACACGTATGTTTGTTTAAAATTTTTAAAATATGTCCACTTGATGATCCATTTAAATTTCCATATTAATATCAGAAGTCCGCTTTGAAACAGAATTTATGTTTTTTTTTTCTAAAAGGTGGTTTAAAAACGGAGAAATGCTTCAGTCCGGAAACAACGCAGATTACGTCATTTCCGGGAACGTACTGACAATTCCTGTTTTGGATGAGAAGCACAATGGAATGTACCAATGTGCCGCTACCAATGTTCACGGGACGGCCATGTCTGCTGGCCAGCTGAGGGTTTTACGTAAGTCAGGCTTTAAAAAAAAATTGCATTTGAAGGGAGAAAATTGTAGCATAAAAATGTTATTTTAGATTAGTGCTTTGAGATAACCAATAAGTTTTGCTTTTTTTATATTCAGATTTTGCACCGAGTCTACAAAAACACCCCGTACAATCACACATGGTAGGGGCCTTAAATGGGGAGATCATTATTATTTGTAAACCAGAGGCCGCTCCCTCACCAACTATCACGTGGACTAAGAACAATGTAAACCTTGTACCAGATGGCACCAGGGTTAAAATGATGCCTAATGGTAACCTACAGATAAAGGACCTCACCTACGGGGACGCCGGATTCTACACGTGCGTGGCCGATAATGGAATTCAACCACCGGCTAAAAGCACAGGACAACTGGTTGTACAGTGTATGTTTCATGTTTTCTATAACGTAGATTTATGCTATGCAACCAATGCATTTTAAAAATGTCCTAAATAAAGTTTTTTTCTGGACGAACAAGTATTGTAAATGGAACACTCTGAAAGATATTATATTTAAAATCTTACAGGCTTTAGTAATCATGTTAACAGAATTTCATCATTGTTATTTCCTTCATTACAGCGGCTACTGTGATCACTAATCCCCCCGTAACTGATCCCGTTGTTGTTAACAGGACAACTTTTATCCCCTGTAAGGCCTCTTATGATATGAACCTTGACCTAGTCTACATGTGGAACTTCAATGGGAAACTTATTGATTTTGAGAGAGAATTCCATTACAGATTGGTAAGTTATGAAGACATGATGCTATGTGAAATAAAGAAAAAAAATCGTCACAGAAAGAACTTTGCTATATGTCGATCTTACAAGGATTGAATATCTTTTTTTCTCTTTCTCAGGACACCAGTCCAACCCATTCAGGACTCAATATCATCATGACACAGTTTAAGCATGCGGGGACTTACGAATGTATTGCCAAAACAACTCTAAACCAAGATGCTAGGTCAACAATGCTGGCAGTATATGGTATGCTTATACATAATAAACATGCATGTTGTTTCATTAATTATGATCACTGACAGGTGTGGATTTTCCTGAAAAACGGCACATATATTTTGTTTTCAGCACGATGTGTGAAGTTGAATTTAAGAAATTGATATTTTTGGGCTTTGCAGGAATGTTTCTTTCAAATTGCTTCATTTATGATCTAAAATACTTATTTACAGGGTAATTTTGCCCTGTATTATTTTCCCCATCACGCTTGCAAACGAGTGTGCCTCTTTTTAAATTAGTGCGCCAGAAGAGAGATAACTCTATTTCATTTCTGAATTCGCCCACTGACGATGAGGGTGAAAGTAGCAAAAAATAAAACTTTACAAAAGTAAAACTGCATACAGTTTAACATTTATGGCAAGTGGATTTCTGCCGATAATCTGTTTTTAAATTACCTTGACATGCAATTTTAATTTATATATACATGTAATTAATTTCACACCCTGTAAAACGATTTTCCCTGTAATACCCAGGTCCTCCTGGAGAACCTGCCGGTGTGGTGGGGGTGGACGGGTCAGCCACGGAGACCACCATTCAGTTGATCTTCTTCCCAGGAGCGGAGCACGGTAGCCGCGTCTCTCATTTTGTAGTCGAGAGGGAAATAGAACACGAAAAAGGATGGAAATTGATAGGTCAACGTAAGTAATTAAGACTGTTATTTTCTAGGTTTTCTCATTTTTGTTGCATAGAACCAATTTAATTTTAAATCATTATAAATTTAGTTTCTGGTATAAATGTTCATTTTTAAAAAAAACATTTTCGTTTCCCACGTTTTTCAGATTTCCCAGAACCATTTACGATTATCCCTGGTGCCGTCGGTATGCAGAGTGACATGCGGCAGATAAAGATAGAAGGACTGCATCCTGGAAATGGTTATAGGTTTAGGGTTGCGGGCGTCAACCAGTACGGAGTCGGCACATGGAGCGTAGCTTCACGTGAGTTTGCATTACTTTGCACAAAATAATAAAATGGTTTTAATTTATATTCTATTTTATTTTTTACTTACAAATTAAGGGGCAAAAACTTTTTGAAAATAATTTCTAAATAACACTCAATTTTTACAGCATTTATTGAAACCGACATTGCGGCGCCAGACGTGGCCGTCGATGCGGAGTACATAGTAGGAGGGAATGGCAGTGTGGGGGATCTCAGCATCATCTGGAAGGTATGTAGACGGAAACCTAAATTTGGCAGTATTAACATTTCCGACTTTGTCCACGCTATGAAGTTTTATAATGCGATTTTACGTCTTGTTACAGAGAATGGAGCCTGAGTTCCACGGAGCCCCGGGCTTTGGTTACATCGTGTACTGGAGAAGATACAAACCCGAAAGCATCTACGACTCTCTATGGCGCAAAGTAAGTTTGATACTGAAATAAATACTGTATATAATATAATAGGTATCGGTGGGGAACAAGTCTGTTATAAATACTTACTTTTCAAAGTCATTTTGAGGCATATTATTTGTTATATACCGTACGTATGGTACGTACAGTACATAAAAAAACACGTATTTCTGATCGCCCCAATTACATTTTTCCCTTTATTTTTTTCATTCTGCTTATGGTTTTAAGATGCGCAAATAGATTTTTCCTATATTTCGGCTAAAACATTACTGAAACCGATTAGGGAAATTTCTAGAATACATGTATCTCAAGGTATGCTGTCCCAAAATTCTATAGTTTTTTTCTTTTTTGTAGTCGGGGCCATTCCAAGATTGGACCAAAGAGAGAATGACTGTACAAGTCGGCGAGGACAACTACTATTTAGAGTACGAGATTAAAATTCAGGTGTATAACTCTGAAGGAAAGGGACCTAACTCCACCGAGGCAGTGGTGTACTCTGCGGAAGGAAGTAAGTTCTTAAAACTCTCATACAATGTACACGCAGAACTACTAGTATATTGCGGCCATAGCCTATATAATATCGCGCCTACTGCATCGGAAAAATAAGTCAATTTTTTTTTTCCTTTTCACCTTGATCAACAACTTTTCAACACGCACGTCTTATGTAAAACAATAAATATTTACATATTATTTAGTTTAAACTTTCTCAGATTGCAAATTCATGGTACATGTTAATTACACATGTTACACAGTAGTTAACTTTTTGTTCTTTTAAATTGAGATAATTATAAACTGTGATTGTTTTTTCAAACACTATATGTAGATGAATATGAATGTCAAACAATTCATATCACCTTACAATTGTTAGAGTTGACAAATCATTGATTAACGATTGAAAAAATTAATTAAATCAATTAATGGAAACATCTATCATACACTGTAGACCCAAAGTGAATGACATAATCTATGCATGCAGCAGGTCAAAGAATTTGGGTCCGCTGTCGTAGAGTTTATTTAGAATTATCCTTCTTGGCAAGATTTCAGAAATTCGAAGTTTTGTGCCGAAAATATTTCCGAGTTTTGTCTGTAAATAAATTAATATTGTATGAAATCTAATTACCATAATGATGTCAGTTAGAAAAATTACCAAGTTTTTTTCCTAATATACTACATTAGCCTTACTTGACCCTTACTCTTACAAAAAGGGGGGGGGGGCAACTGGCCTTTCATTGAACATTAGTATGTCTGGAAAAAGAGAAGGGGGTCAGCCCCCCCCCCCCCCCCCCCGTTGCTACGTGCCTGTTATGGTTTACAAATGTAAAGAGATGATTTTGTTTGGTATTTTTAGTGCCTATAGCTGCTCCTCAGGGATTATACTGTGATGCCTATAACTCCACCGCTATGTTAGTTACCTGGGAACCTGTGGAAGACACCCGAGAGACCATGAAAGGCAGAGTGTGGGGATATCAAGTAAGAAATTAGAATGTTAATGGTTTTATTGTACAATAAAAAACGAGGATCAAGACAAATATTTTGTTATATCTCCAATGAAAGGGAATGACGGCATATATATTTACAATGGAGAGTTGTAACTTTAGAGGAAAAAAAAGGGAAAAAATCAAAAAAATGTTTGTTGCATCTTGCCATTTTTTGTGTTTTCCAATATATACAAGTTTTTCAGCGACAAGAAATTTTGTGCTGTCAACTCAAAAATCTCAATTTTAAAAAATCTCAATAACTTCGTCAATAGTACATTATAGTGTGATTTTTGTAGGTTAATTACTGGTTAGATGGGGATGACGAGCCTGTGTATAAACGTTACATCCGGTATCAGGGCCAGATCTCGGAGGCCGTGGCTATAGGACTGTTCCCGGACACTAACTTTTGGTTTGAGGTACAGGTGTTCAATACAGCTGGTCTGGGACCCCTCAGCGAAAAATTCATCCAGGAAACGCTTCACGAAGGTAAAATACTAGCTGTTAGATTCTCCATTCTCCAGTTTTAACGGTTTTCTTAAATTATTTTAAATATTCTTTTCGACTCCTGATACATATAGTATTACACAGTATTTGTCTACTAGTGGAATATATCAGTATTTGTATGTACACATTTCCCCCCTTAATTTTCAGTACCTAAGCTTTACCCCCAGGAGGTATACGTCCATTCTCTCAGTTCTTCCAGTGTCCGAGTCACGTGGAGAGGAATCAGTACCACAAGGGAGGAGGAGACCTTATCTGGGTACATGGTAAGTACTGTCTGGTAATTATCTGTCTGACTGTCTGTATAGCACTTCAGTTCTACCTTATAACATTATTAGTAATAATATTACAAAGGTTCTTAATAGTGCATTAATTATTCCTTTTTGATGACCTTTGAATAGCACTAGTATATGTTTCTGGGTCTGGTTACCACATAAAGTCAAATGAATATTAGAATATTAATATTGTCTCTAAAACTTAGTGATGATCGATTAAATCAGTGCCTTCTTTTTCAGCAATATTTGTCCGTTTTTGGTTGGCAGTGGTGAAATTTGGGCACCCACCTTTTTTTAGGGAAGGGGGGGGGGGGCAAATAAATTGTTATTAACCATTTTATGTAAATTGTGTATGTCTCTTTCTATATGATTTTTTTAAATTTTATTTTGTAAAACATTTATTTCTCTTTCTCAGGTGTATTTCTGGAAAGCCAACGATCATTTTAGAAATGCCGAACAGTATGAGACTGCCAAATTCGCCATTCAGCACGATATTTATGGAATTCAGAAAGGCGTGGTTTATGCCGTAAGAGTAGCGGGGTGCAGCGACGGTGGGGAGGGGCGAAAGTCCCCCACAGTGTACTTTACTTTAGGTACTTCTAACTTGTTTTACAAAATGTTTTTTATCTGATGTAAATAGGTAATTTAATCGTTTGTCTGAACAGAGATTGTGTGTTTATGTGGAGTAAGTGTTGTTGGATATTAAGTTTCATAATAAATAGGCATCTACTTGAAAAATGGTAAATGCCCTTTATTATTGATTCTTTGAAAAGTCAAGAGTTTCTTAAAAGTTTAATGATTTTTTTAGTGAATTATTTAATATTTATAAATCGTTTTATCTTTTAAGGAGGAATGATTCGTCTGGATAACACCACTACTAGTTTGAAGTACGAGGGAATTGATAGCTTCGGACATCAACTCAAACAGTCTCAAACCAGTGTCCTTTTTATGACTCTATTCGCCTTATTAACATCGTTCTTGATTACCGTCTGCTAATCCTCACGCGGGATTACCCTTTTCATGTGCAAATATCCGCCAGAAATTCTATATCAAGTGCATATGTTTTACCTTTCGTGTTCATCATCATTGAGTGCTGAATGTCTATAACATTTTTTTTTATTGATGTATGTAATGAAGTGTGTGAGCGGTCCATTTCTATAAGGTATTCACCCAGAGAGCTTGTTTTGAAATAAGGGAGAAGTTTGAGTTTAATTTTGTGCAAGTCGGAAAAGGTTATTCATCGGTCAATACATCCATAATAGACACAAAAATTGACGTATAAGTCTAGGGTATAAATTTCCTAGTTTATTCAACTTTCTTATCAGGAAAGGTGCGTTACTTTAAAAAAAATCAAGCCAGACTTTAAAAATTTCTTGTGATTCAGTAAGATATATATTGGATTTCACTTTTGTAATAATAAAAAAAAATCGGATTTTTTTCTTGCAGTTGTTAACACTAAAGTGTTATACTTTGATAGGATTTTGATTCAGTTAAAGTGTTTTAAAAGTTCCTTTTCAGTTCTTTTTCTTTTTCCTATATCTCTGGATAAATGGTCATTGAATGGTTTGAACGACATGTATGTATGCGGGGAGATTGGTTTAGACTGTGTTTGTAATATGTATAGGAGTTTTATACATTTTTTATGAAATATAATCAATAAATCTTTTTTGTATATTTGTTGTTGTGTATGTTTAGAAAGAAAGACCCATAATTTTCTGCTTAGAGAAGTGAAGACTACTTTCGAAGTTCATTTCCAATACCACTGGAATCTTTCGCATTGCAGAGCTGTGCTACATCAATTTACTACGTCTGTAGGAATTTACTATAGTAAACTAATATTACCAGTACCCAATTGCAATTTAATATATCAAATTACTTTTCACTATTAGGTTAAGAATTATTTGATTGCATGTCTGGTTTAATTGTTAACTTATTTAAAAACAGAATGCGATCACGTATTTTTTTTTTATTGAAACAAAGGTTCAAAATTTGAAAAGGTCAACCTGAGCTAACAGCAGACGTGTTCTCGTGTATACTGATAAATATAAAATGTTTCCATGTTTGTATGTTGTTTAACGTCCCTCTTGAGATTTTTTTTTCACTCAGATGGAGACACAACCGCTTAATGAAGGTGAAGAGCGAATTTTGACATATACGCAGCACTAAGGTCCTTTGAGCAGTGAGGGATCTTTTTCGTGCCAGCACCAACTGGGACACGGGATCTTGGTTTATACAGTCTCATCCGAAGGACCGGTTTCCACGTCCCACTGTGGGATTCGAACCCGCGACGTAAGGATCAGCTCCTATCTGTAGGTCACATTTAAGCCGACGGTCGGGCGACCAAATTTTTTCTCTTATCGTAGGATGAAAACAGAATCGCCCGACAGTAGTATCGTAGTCACATTTGTGACGGGGGTCCTCCCTGTCACTGGCACTGGTAATGAATGACTATAGTTTTTATTTACATTGTTTATTTACATATTTACATCACAGATATATATATAAGAAATCACAATTGTTCACAATACAAAAACTCATCCACACTCGTTGACTTTCAGACTTGTTCTCCTCTCTCTCACACGCGTTCCTCCAGGGCATGGCCATACCAAATCTCTTTTTCCCCACTTTCTCACACAAATCAATCTAATGCTCACTTTCATCTCTCAGAACTCTATCATGCACAATAAACAATGATAACAGAAATGACAAATAAACAAATTATAAATCCATGCTTGTCCACTCGCTTTCTCTCTAACTAACTCAAAATTACACACTTGGGAAACAGGGCTACAACGCCTGCGCCGCGCACCTGCAACCTATCACTCACTCATTTACAATTAATTAACAATTAATTCGGGCGATTACTCTGTGACATACCTCCCCTCTTAAGTGTGGCGTCCCGACACACTAATAAAATTACATGTAGTAGACTGATAATGACAATTTGATATCGCTTACAAGAATCACACATTCATAGATAAAGAGACATTACTTACACACAGAAATAACAAAATAGTTTAACATGCACACACATTTCATGTTTTATCTTTTTTTTTTTATCTTTAGATTTTTGCGTTTTATCTATACATACATTTTATACAGAGGCGTTTTCAAAACAAATGTTCATTTTAAATCCATTCAATGATATACATTATATACACAACCTGCGTATATATACACTTCAATTATTTATTTCTTTGACTGAATAAAATCTTGTACAATCCTAAAGTCTTTGATTTCATTTTCACCTAACCACTGGGTGTGTCCGTTCTGAAACTGCACAAAATAACGTTTCTCTAACCGCTTGGAGTCGTTTCTTGACCGCATCATATCTAATACTTTGACAATGGGACCGTTGTCATCGGCCGTCTCGTCTTCGTATTCAACGTCCTCGTCCGGGATATAGTCGTGATCAGGGCGGTCATTAGGATCAAGATACGGCTTCATCCTGTTAGCATGCGCTGTCAAAGTTTTCGATTTGTGATCAGGGTCCTGTAGTCTGTATGTAACATTAGATAATCGCTCGATGATCTCGTATGGTCCGTGCCAATTGTGGGTAAGTTTAGGAGAGAGTCCAGGTTTAGTCGTTGGAGTAAATAACCAGATTTTGTCACCTTTAGTATAATGAGTCTCTTTCGCTGCACGGTCATGATGTTCCTTCTGGTTTTGTTGACATTTTTGTAAGTTTTCTTTGACAAGCGTGTAGGCCTCTTGAAGGCGGACTTTTGCCTCTTCCTTATAGTCGTCTGCTACAGCGTAAGAAAATGTTGGCGGACAGAGCACGGCTTCAACGGGTAGAACAGGATCTCGCAAGTGCATTAGGAAGAAGGGTGACTCTTTTGTAGTCTCATGGATGGCGGTCCTATATGCAAACAGTATGTATGGTATAAAGGTGTCCCAGTCACGCTGATGTCCTGACACATACATTGACAACATTGTTGTGAGTGTTCCATTGAAGCGCTCCACTAGGCCATTGGTCTCCGGGTGGTAGGCAGTAGTAAAAGTTTTCCTGGTATTTGTTAATTTGCATATTTCCTTTATCAGGTTTGATCTAAAGTTCTTACCATTATCTGATAGCAGCTCTCTAGGCGCTCCGTGACGACACACTATTTCCTCTACAAAAAGTCGCGCAGTCGTTTCTGCATCTGCATTGTTTACGGCAAATACTTCAGGCCATCGAGTTAGGTAGTCACTGAACACAATAATGTACTTATTGGACTTGTAGGTTGGCGGGAACGGTCCAAGGACATCTACAGCTACTCTGTCGAATGGTCCATTAACTGCCGGTAGCGGGTTCAATGGGCACTTTGTTTTTCGGTGATTTCTTGGTAGCACAGTCTACGCATGATCTACACCAAAACTCTACATCTGAATACATTCCCTTCCAATGAAATCTCTCTTGTACTTTGTCATACGTTTTCTGGAAGGAGAGATGTCCGGCTGTCAGGTCGTCGTGACAGGCATACATGACTTCATCTATCAGGCTCCTTGGAACAGCTATTTGGCGTCTAATAGCTTGACGTCGTCTATGAGATCCAGGCTGCCAAAGATGATATAGCAGACCATTGTGTCCGAGTTCATAATCACCAGATAATATTACCGTCTCACGGGCCTTTGAAGATAATTCAGGCAACTCTCCCTTCTCTAAATAATTCATGATAGCGGCTAGGAGAGGGTCATTTTTCTGACGGTCGCGGATGTCCTGATATGACCTTTTTGGTATCACATCTGCGTCTGCCTTAGCACAGGTGGCTGCTATAGGGGATTCGGCAGGAATTCGAGATAAGGCGTCTGCGTTTTGATGAACCTTTCCCGGTCGATGTTTAATGGTTATGTCATACTCTTGAAGAGTTAATGACCATCGCGCTAGGCGTCCTGCTGGATTCTTAATGTCCATAAGCCACCGTAATGGGTTGTGGTCAGTTATCACAGTAAATTTCCGGCCGAATAGATAGTGTCTAAAGTATTTCACACTCCACACAATGGCTAATGCCTCTTTTTCGATAACTGCATAGTTCTGTTCATTTGATTTTAGACTCCTACTCGCGTACGCTATTGTCCGTTCACCATCTGGACCTTCTTGGGCTAATACGGCACCTACACCAGTGTCACATGCATCCGTGTACAGGATAAACGGAAGCGAGAAATCCGGATACCTAAGAATAGGAAAGCTGGTCAAAGCTGATTTGAAGAATTCAAACGCACTTTTGCAGTTATTGTCCCAAATGAATTCGACACCTTTCCTTAAGAGCTTGTGTAAGGGAGCAGCCTTACTTGCAAAACCCTTTACAAACTTACGGTAGTAAGAGATGAGTCCCAGAAAGCTTCTAAGTTCGCTCACATTTGTTGGCCTCGGAAAGTTGTGAATTGACTTTACTTTCTCCGTGTCAGGTGATATTCCGTCAGCTGAGACTTTGTGTCCAAGGAACGTGACCTCCGTTTTTCCGAAGTAACACTTCTTCGCTTTTAACTTTAATCCTGAATTTTCGAATCGTTTTAGCACTTCCTCAAGTCTTTTGACATGGTCGGAAATAGTTTCCGAAAAGACAATTACGTCATCTATATACACAAGACACGTGTTCCACAGTAATCCTGAAAGCACAGAGTCCATAAGTCTCTGGAATGTTGGCGCACTGTTGCACAGTCCAAATGGCATATAATTATATTCATAATGCCCTCCAAAGAAGGAAAACGCGGTCTTTTCTCTGTCACTTTCCTTAATAGGTACTTGGTGGTATCCTTGACACAAATCTAAGACACTGAAGTACTTGGACTTATTAAGTGCATCCAGCATTTCGTCGATCCTAGGGAGAGGGTAAACGTCCTTTTTGGTGACTTCATTTATTTTACGAAAATCGATGCACATGCGAACTTTGCCATCTTTCTTCGGCACCAAAACAATTGGGGCGGAGTACGGACTCTTAGACGGTCGCACAATTCCATTAGCGCACATTGTTTCTATCTGGGATTCCAGTAACATCCGCTGGCTGTGAGGAATCCTATAAGGCCTCAAGTGAATAGGTTTACTGTCCCCTGTGTCTATAGAATGTTCAACCAAATCTGTCTTCCCTAATTCATTATCACTGAAAGCAAACACTTTTCTATACTTATCTAATACCTTCGTAATAGACTTGCGTTCCGTTTCACCTAAATCACCTGATACATAGAAATCATCTATATCTTGCTCACCAGACTCAACTCTCTCATTTATCTCAATCCCATTCAAGTTCTTGTCATTACATACATCTTGCACACTCTCGCTAGTCGAACTTGCATCAGAAATAAATGAGATACATTCATCATTTATATATACAGAATCATTTGCAACATCAATATAGCATGCACAGTCCTTTAAAATGTCCAAACCTAAAATACAATCATACGGGAAATCACGAGCAACAAATGCATTATATACAACATCGGTTTGTTCACCAATTCTTAACCTAAAGTCACACTTCCCAACAATATCGACACGGTTGCCCGTTGCCGATGTAACACTAACTCCTCCAGCCGGCACCATACCACTCTGGCTTGCGAAAGCTTCATTTATAATCGTGACACTAGATCCGGTGTCGACCAACATCGCAGCACATTTTTCATTCACATATCCTACAATTTTGGCGGTACAAAATTTA